GCCTGACGGTGGTGTGTCCTGGACCTGGCAGCTTGCTCTCTCTCTCTCTCTCTCTCTCGCTCATTCTGTCTCTCTCTGGTCAAATTGAAATAAATAAATAAATTAATAAATAAAATTAAGTAAAATAATTCTTTTAAAAAAATCACTTAGGGACCAGCAGTTGGCGTAATGGCTTATGTCACTAGACTCCCATGTAGTCAACCGTGGTTCAAGTCCCGGACCTGGTAGCTTAAACTTACACCAGGCGCGCACGTGTGTGTGTGCGCACACCCAGGAGTGTGAGAGGCGAATGGAGGAGAATAGATTTCACATGGCCATCCCCCCTGGGGGGGTGATTTCTTGCTTTCTGTCTCGCTGTCTCTCTTTGTGTTTCTGTCTCCCCCCACCCCCAAAAAAATGATTTAACTGTATCTGTAAGGGTTATATTGCTGGGCTATCTGTTTTCTTACACTGGATATGGATATGTCTGTCTTTCACATGACTTTGTTTCTATTTATTTTTGGTTTTTGGTTGTGGCTGTAGGGCACATGCGCTTGCTGGAGAGAGACAAGAAAGGAAAAGTGAGAAATAACCTCTCTGGGGGGTGGCCACACCGCAGTCTCTTCTCCTCCATTCTCTTGCTGAGATTTTGGGCACACATGTCATCCATGGTTTTCAAGCCACCAGGTTTGGAACTCAAACTACAGTCGGCCATGTGGGAGTCCAGCACTCTCAACCACCACGTTACCTGCTGGCCCCAGAACCGGCAATAATTTAAATATTATACACACACACACACACACACACACACATGTACTTTTCTCTCTCTTTTTTTTTTTTTTTTTACTTTTTTTTGCACTATTAAACCAAAGCCAGTACTCTTTATTTGTGATGTTCACAAATCAAAATCAACAAATGATTATACATCAGTATTGGCAGGGGTGCCTAAAATTATTTCACAACTGCCACTGTGTGTTTCTTCTCTGACACAATCGGCACACACCCCGGCTTGCTGTGTTTACGACAACTCACTTCTTTTCGTCAGCAAACTTCTCTGATGATGCACTGTTCCTGGATCCGGCTGTAGATCTTGGTAGATGTCAGTGACGAGCAATTTGTTCTATTTGAAGATGATGCTGAAATTTCTCCTCCAGCTTCTGGTTATAATCCTTGACTGCCTTTTCTCGTGATGTAAGCTCACCCAGTTTTTCAGAAGCTTTTGCTTTCCACAGACATATGTTCATTTCCTCCGATCCACACACAGTATACTTGCTGTCAGAAGGCCATTTCACACAGATTACGTGCTGCATTCATTTGTGTGGTAGACTTCCCTGCTTCAACTTTAGTCCACAGGAAAGATCTGAATAGATTTGTGGAAACTAGAAGACACGAACTCTTGGTGACAGAGTAATCCATATCCAGCCCTACAGATACATGATCCATACAAACCGTAAAGGGAGTGTCCAGCGTACGCATATCAGAAGTATACCTGTTGTAAGCTTCATACCTGCAGTAAAAATGACAGCTTCCATAGGGTTCCAGCAGATTGTATTTGTTCTTATACCTAAGGTAACCTTTTTCAGAGGAGTAGCTTGCCTCATGTCATGCAGTTCTGTGTTCCAGTCAGGAGCACAACTTCCCAAGAGAAATGCCTCAGTTGGGTTAAATTTAACACTACTCATACTGTCAAATCCCCCTGTCTTTGGGGACCAGCAGTTGGTGTAATGGCTATGTCACTGGACTCCCATGTAGTTGACCACGGTTCAAGTCCTGGACCTGGTGGCTTAAATTCACGCCAGGCGCGTGTGCGTGCGTGCCCAAGATCCCGAGAAGAGAATGGAGGAGAAGGGATTGCGGCATGGCCATTCCCCCTAGGGGGTGATTTCTCACTTTCTGTCTCTCTGGCTTTCTGACAAGCACACATGCCCCATAGCAAAAACCTCTCAAAAACACAACCCCGTCTTTGTATATATGAGACTGGTTCTTTGTTCATTCCTAATGTCTGCTTGCTGTCTACATGTGGCAAAGCAGCTTCTTTCCAGTGGTGATCAGTTCCAGTGTACAGTGTCTTTCCTAATATAGTGTACAAGGGTTCTTCCTCTTCTCATAGCCTGGGCCACCCATTTTCCACTGCTTCACAGTTTCCTCATCCCCAGTATTAAAAAAGGTCACAGGACCAGCAGTTGGTGTAATGGCTATGTCGCTGAACTCTAGTTGACCACGGTTCGAGTGTCTGACCCAGTGGCTTAAACTCACGCTGGACACGTGTGCATGTACCCAAGATTTCAAGAGGAGAATGGAGGAGGAGAAGGGATTGCTGCGTGGCCATCCCCCCTAGGGGGTGATTTCTCTCCTTCTCTCTGTCTTTCTGGTGAGCGCACGCACCCTATAGGGGAAAAAAAAAAACTCTCCAAAAAAAAAAAAGTTTCACAAAAGCAAGTACACATTCCTCGTACAAAACCTTCACATCCTTGTATCATACGGGTACATTTTCATTTAGTCTGGTTCAAAATTCTAACCTGTCCATCACATGCACTAGAAAGGACAGTAGAAGACAGGCTGCTTGGATACTTTGCCAAGCAGTTGGCTCCATCTCAGTGACCATCCAGGGAGGCGAGGAACGGTTTTGCAAATACCTGTTCCAGTGTGGTGGCATTTAAAGCGCTTACATTTTCTCAAGGGACCTCAAAAGGGTGTAAGGTAGGGTCGTAGTTTCTTGGAACTCTGTAAGTCCAACTTGGTTTCATGAACATAGTTGTCTGGGTGACTCAACATCTTCACCTTCATCTTGGGGGTTAGCTTCCTCGCCACCTCCCTGAGTTTTTCACTCTGAATTCAGCTCACCATAGGCTTCCTCTGGCCCCTCTTCTTTTTCTTAAACCTAAGTCCTAACTCAGACTAATGATAGTATACTAGACACACTTTTCTCCCCCTTACTTTCTTCATTTACCAGTATATCTTGAGGGACTAGGAGGTGACTTCTGGTTAAGGCACTGGACTCCCATATAGCCAACTATGGTTTAAGTCCCAGATCTGGTGGCTTGAAATTCACACCACACCTGTGCTTACACACCCAAAATCCAAGAGGAGAATGGAGAAGAAGGGGTTGCAACATGGCCATCCCCCAGGGGAGTGAGTTCTCATTTTCCCTTTTATCGTCTCTCTCTCTGTCTCTCCAGTGGCCACACATGCTCTATGGCAAGATCCTTTAAAAAAAAGAAAAAAAAAAAGTATATCTTGGAGATTGCTCCTTAGGTTGTTTTTTTTTTTTTTAAGTAATTATTTAATTTTATGTATTCATTCTTTAAACAAAGAATTGTTTTATTTAACTTTATTTATGTATTTTAATTTGACCAGAAAGGGACAGAGTGAGAAAGAAAAAGGGAAAGTGAGGAAAGCAAGCCACCAGGTCCGGGACTTGAACTGCTGTTCACCATGTGGGAGTCCAGTGCCCTTAACCACCCTGCCACCTGTTGGCCCCCATTCATTTTTATTTTAATTTGACCAGAGAGAGCCAGAGAAAGTGAGAAAGCAAGCACCAGGTTCAGGACTCTAACCGTGGTTGGTCATTTGGTAGTGTCCAGTGCATTAACCACCACCCCACCTGCTGGCCTCCCACCTTAATTTTTACGGTAGAAGGGTCCTCTACAAACGGATTTTGTAAATAAAATTTCACTACAATAATCATATCTGTTTGTTTACATATTATTTGTGGCTGGTTTTTTTTTTTTTTTAGTTATAATAGTAATGTTGAGTAATTGAGACAGTGCCAATTGGCCATTTAGAAAACATTTTCTTGGGGACCAGCAGGTGGCGTAGTGGTTAAGGCACTACACACTCCCACATGGCTGACCACGGTTCCAGTCCTGGACCTGGTGGCTTTCTTTCTCACTTTTCCTCTCTCTGGTAAAATTAAAATAAATGAGTGAATAAATAAAATTAAATAAAATAATTCTTTAAAAATATAAGCGAATAACTCACACCGGGCACGTGTGCGTGCGTGCCCAGGATCCCGAGAGGAGAATGGAGGAGAAGGGATTGCGGCGTGACCATCCCCCCGGGGGGTGATTTCTTGCT